TCATACTTTCCTTTCGCAGACGATTTGTACTCAAGGACTCGTTTGGGATAATTATGTTGAGAACCTTCAGACATGATAACAGCATAGAATTATAAAGCTGAGAAGTAACTTTTCTTGATGTTTTAGATGAAAACGATATCATTCTTCCTTTTTTTTCTCTCTCTCTATCTCCTTTTAAAAGAGAAACTATCTTCATCAAAACTTATGAGTGATTCCAATGAACTTTTCATCCAATTTCAATTTCCTGTCCTTTTGAAAGGGTCACAAATCAGATCAAACTAGGAAACTTTGATTTGTTAAAACAAAAAAATTTTTTTGTTCCTACTTCTTCTACTTCTACTTCTTCATTTTTCTTTTTTTTGTTTTACAAAATTTGTGTTTGAAGAAGACAGGAGTATAGGGGAAGTAGGACCAGTGGGGTAATTGTTGTTTTCATCCAGAAGAGGGGAAGTCCATTTGACTTTTGATGTTTTTAAACAAAAAATCAAAAAAAAAAATAGAAATCCAATCTTTATGTTTTTCAATAAATATGGTGAATGCCTTCATCGCATTCATCTTCTTCGATGTCGTCGTCGTTGTCTTCGTCTCCACCAACTTCTACGTCTTCGTATTCGTCTTTTTCCTATTCTTCGATTAATTTTTGCATTCACACACAAGTTGTTTATATTTCATCTCGATTAAGAGAAGATGGGAATGAACGAAGGACAAGCCGACCCGTCTGATACGGGATGGGGTGTATGTGTGTGTGTTGAAGGGTGGGGGGAAGAAGAAGTAGGGTTGGGGATCTTCGTTTTGTCGTCCACATTTTGCACCCAACAAACACAAAAGACAAATTTTGTTGTAAAAATTTTGTGGAAAAATAATTGGAAAAAAAGGAATTTTTCTCATTGTACATTGTCTTTGTGAACATCGTTAAGACAATATTGTTTTGTCTGTAACAGAAATGGAATTTTATTTATTTTAAATAACAATTGGTAACAGCTACAGATGAGACAGAAAACGAAAACATACACTCGGAAAAGAAGAATGTCTCTGTCTGTGTATGTATGTGTATGTGTGTCTGTGTGAGGCAAACTAGTCAGTTGATATTGTAATCATATTAATTATACACACATACATATATGTGTGTATACATATATATATATTATGTATGAATATTATTTTAAAATGATAATGATAGCTCATTTGATCGAAATCCCCCCCCCACTCTCTTGCCGCCACTTACCATCCAGGCACGGTTCTGACTGCATTATAGCATCGACGATGCACATGAAGGAAAACGCGTTCTGATAATCCGTTGTCTGCACGTGTTCTGCTGAAGGCCGTCAATCTCTTTTTTCTTTATTATCTTTATGATTATTATAGTTCAATTGTCGTTATTACATAACCATTTTTGTGATGAAAATGCTCGATGAAGGTAAATCTCATTTTTTGTTCGACAAACAACGATATCGGGAGTGCTGATCGTAAAGAGGTTTCAGAAATGCAGGAAGTAAGAAAAAAACAAAAAATAAAACAAACAAGAAGCGAAGAAGAGCAATCGAGAAAGTGATACGTATGGAGTATGCAGACATATTGGGGCTAAGAAAACTGAAGCAACTTGTAAAGATTTCAATATCCATCAATTGAAAGACATAATCGTTCAATAATCTCATTACATCTTGCATTCATGATAATGTTGTAATTAATATTTTATTTTAAAAGAAAAAAATGTTTTTTTTGTGTAAGTCATTTTAAACATTCTTCTAAAGGTTATACAACTGCATTTTTGCAACGTGTTGTCCACGTGTCTTTCAAGTGATTGCCTTAGGCAAGAGAAGAGAAACACATACGTTGATCATATGATCCCACCAATAGTAAATATCGCTAATTTCTCCAAAAGAAATTGATGAACGACGATGTCTTCTTTCCTTAAGAGACAGCATTCTTCTTCTCCAAAATCATAAGGATTGTCTAAGAACCAGGTTGACAGACAACAAGAACATTGGAGAATCCCCCTCCTCTCCCCTTCCACCCTCTTCCACTCTCTTCATATTCTTTTCTTTGAAGTTTATTTACCCAAATATGCAATTATAATTAGCATATATTCTCATTTAAACCTCTTTCTCTTCTACCTTTTCAGAGTGTGTCAAACATCGCTCGCTTGCACAACGAAAGACGCAAAAGTTTGTTTTTGTCTCAAAACATTTTTGTAAAATTTCATGAGCAACTTAGGTCATGTTGAGCACAATGAGACAGCGTGAGAGAGAACAACCTTGTGAGCAACGTTGAGCATTTTTCCTCATTATCTTCGTCTTCTCACTCTCTCTTTCGTTTTCTTTCTTTTAACCAAATTAATTTACCATTCCAAGTGGGGTTCGCCAATATTGGAAAAAGGGATGGGTGTGAGATAATGGCAAAAGGCCATTTCTTTATAAAATGAAAGAAAACTGCTGTGTGAACAGATAAGGGGCTGAGACTACTTGCAGCTTAACATCTTTAAAAGAATAGAAATTCTATGTTGTGATAGATCTATGATGAAAAAGGCTGGGTACAGGGTACTGACTGACTTGTAACGAAACCTTGTCATTCTCTCATCGCTCACGAGACAGACAGAAGCGAGAGATGAGATACGTAATGAACTAAAGAGAGAAAAAGGAAATGAAAAAAGTATTTTATAAAGCTTATAAGGTTTTTGGGGGCAGTGTGTCCTGACAATCGGCATTCCATAGATAAGACAATGATATTTGACGTACACATTTACTTGAACAGAAAGAAGAAGAAGAATGAGAAAAAAAAAGAAGAAAAAGGAAATAAAAGAAGAAAAATGCTTTAACCTATTCTCTTAATCACGTGGAGATTAAACAATTCCTTCTGTTTTCATTTGCTTTTTTTTTCTTTTTTGTTAACGTTCATAAAGATTTTATTCTTCTAAAATTGCCGTTTTTTGGACATTCTTCATCTCTTTTTTCTTCTTTTTCTACTGATGATCGTTAAAATGGAAACGTTTATGCGTTCATTAGCACAAACCCGGATGGTATGATCTCACTGAGTAGTTAGGTCTTAGGTGATACAAGTAGCAACAGTGAGTGTAAAGGTTAAGATAGATACGAATGAAGGAGAGGGCATTATTTAAAACTGCAAAGGACACTCTCATCAAGTGCATATCCTAATTATGTGAAATTTATAAACATTACCTAAGAACTACATGATAATAATTCATTTTTCATACTATAAATATGCTATGTGTTTATAAAAATCCTCATCAACTCACTAGTTAACCACGAGACATGTTCGTTGATATTCACAAATGAAAAATGAACGAGAAATACGTTTTTGTATTGTCCATCCCTCGCAAATCTTTCTTCATATGACTGATATGCAACCGCTCTGAGCATCAAACATTATTGAAAAATGAAAATCATTTGTCAGAACACGTGAGGGTCACGTAGTCTATTGCATGTGATATGGAAATTTGAATTCTGACCAAGCGTGAAATACCTCATGTTGTCACTTGAATGACAAAAAAAAGAATGAAAAAAGAAAGTTTTCATATGACACTTATTTACACGTAGAATACACCAAAAAAGGTTGTTGGCAGATGACACAAGAAGTGTAGGCAGCAAAGGGGAAACTACCTTCCTAATGAGGTTTTCGATCAGCTAGAACTACACAATTACCAGTCAATCACACATATCATGTTCCCAGGGAGCAAATAAACAAGAAATGAAATATTTACAATTTGAACTTTTATAGAAAAACTCTGAAGAATATCTAAGTTGTATAATGATTTTAATTGGAGAACTTTCGTTATAATCACAGCAATTTGTGTTTGCTTCTCTCATCCGCTGAACTTTGCACAGAAGGTAGCATGGCCTGTCATCTTCTCTCATTTATATCATTCATCATGTGTTCGTCTGCGCAGCCTTAATTGTTTTCACGTGAACCATACGATTGCGGATATTTTGCCTGAGGTAATTCCCCAGTGAAATGAGCTTAAACAAACAATGGAATTGAAAATAATTTATACGAATGATTATCCGTATGATAACTTACATCCATGAAGTGTTGTGCATGTGATTATTTGCATTATCACACAATGACATCTTCATTTTGGGTGCGACGACGACATGTCGTTGAAATGCGTGATTGTCTAAACTCTCCGGTACGTTCATATTGTAGGACAGTCTATACTTGACGGCTTCTCTTCCAATTCCTCCTCCCAGGGAGAAAACCCTATAAAAGGCAATTCTTTGCGAATGGATGGACCAGCAACGTGTCCTTCCCTTCCGTTACCACCAAATCATACACATATGATCTTCGTCTTCTGTCTCATTCTCAATTCCGAGTAGAAAACTTCTTAGATTCAAAGAATCATTTTCTGCTCTTCCTTTCTTTCTCATTACGCGCTCTTTAATGAATCCGCTCCTTGATTGGTAACGTTTCTTTTATCTTTTTACATTCATACAAAGTTGAAGCTAAACGAACGAAGGAGAACCTTCAAAACACAATTTACAAGGGGTTTCCCAGTTCTTTCAGATGAACCCAATTCACCAAAAATGAATTTAAACGTTTTTGCTCAGACCATCAAAAAAGAAAAAGCAATAATATGATGTTTGAGAGAAAAAAGAAAAAAATGAAAACAGTAGGGTACTACTCGGTCGGTACAGCACAAGAGCGCTTGTCTCGAATTCCAGAAAAACGAAAGTGGTCAAATGAGTAGAGATGAAGCTCACTCCATGGTGTTTACAACATTAGAACAAACTTGTTCATTAAAGTAACAAATATACTTTGCGCTTTTTTGTTTCGTTTTTTGAAAAAGCAAATTCCGTTCACTTCTGATGCAGGTGCCTTTCCACGGAGAAGGCAACGCCCTGATTCTCGAATATCTTTTTTTTTCCAAATGTTCTTCTCCTTCTTCTTCCTATTCGTCCTATTCATTTCCTTGTTAAAGAATTTTAAACTATATTGTTCGTCTTGTCATTCATTATCACTTTACAAACCTATTCGTCTTTTCAGTTATGTTGAAGGAAATTATTACAAGATGTGAAGTCTCATCCCACGATTCCCCTGATGACTGCTGGATTATCATTCGCAACATCGTTTATGATATCACAGAGTTTCTTCAAGAACATCAAGGAGGAATGGAAATTCTCATAGAATATGTAAGATCATACAGCATATCATTCATTTGCTCATCGGCTTTATCTACTTCAGGCCGGCTCAGATGCTACAGAAGCTTTTGAGAGCGTCGGACATTCAGTTAAGGCTCGTATGATAATGGAAAAGTACGCAGTCGGAGTTCTCCCAGAGGACCAAAAGTCTCATTACGGTGTAGAATATGTATCTCATGCTAAGGTTTGTTTTTTCTTCATAATCAATATAAACTTAAAAGGTGTTGTCATGTGATATCGTTCATTTGATACCCAGCATACTGGCTTTTTTCATTTTCAATCTTTTTTCCCAAAACTTTCTGTTCAACGAATGCATTGCGGTCATCGCCTTGCTTTACTTCCAATATATCAAGAAAGGAATTTACCGATAACTAACTTTGACCTTATTGCAGAAGCTCCTGTGTCCAGTACATTTGGTTGCTTAATCTCTAGTCAAACACACGTGTCAATCAAAAGATCAAATAATGCCAAAAAGAAGATCTCAATGCAAAAGCCGGTAACTCGGACTCAGCCACATCAGCGACAGAATTCTGTTCTAGTCAAAGCTGCCATTCTTCACTGCTTATCCACCTACTTCCTTTTTTTATTCTGGATAGGATTGTGATTGAAAAGCAATATATTAATCATTTTAAATTTAAATTTTGTCGTTGTACCCCGTGCATTGATGCTCAATCTACATGGGCGAGTCTATTTTAATAAATTAAAAGAAAATAATTACAAAAAAATATTAATAAAAGAAAAAAGACAATAAATCTTTAATTCAAATAGCTTGTCGTTGTTGTTGTCTCTCGCAATTTGCAAGCCTTTCTCCTGTTTGCAAAAAAAAGGCGTTGCATGAATCACACCCTCTCACCCTTGTGTAACTGTTAACAGGCGGGTATCACACATTCCATTCAATACAAAGTGAAAGAGAAAATATTGAACTTCCGCTTTCTCTCTCTTCCAGAACAAATTTGAATGTTAGGGCAATCTGAGTGTTTATACATATACAATCTTATGATAGTTGCGAAGTTAACTTGTTTTTGGTCAAAACTAAACAGATGTCAGATGATAAAAATAATTTGTGAACAAGAGCGAGAAAAGAAAAATATTTTGTTAAACTCTTCCAAATGACTGATTCCAACAAGTGTCTGAATTACTGATTGCAGCAGCGAAGAGAGAAAAAGCTTTTTAAAAAACTATAAGAATGGGTTATGAAATAGCCGGAACCACCTAGTGCACCTAACACCACTGTCGTTGACGTATCTCTTGTCCCCCCCGTAGTTCGAACGAATGCGTCTGATCATTACAAATGATTCGTCAAACAAATAAAGCAAAAAGCTACACTCTTCAGATGTTGAACGGGAACGTTTGATGTTTCTGGAAAATCCTTTTGCATTTTCTTTTCTCTTTTTTTTATTTTCCTTTACCCATAATTTCAACAGTTGACGTCAGTCACTCGTCGTTATCAGTCAACAGTCTGATAGTTTGCTTCCTTCTGCTCACCAGGAAATTCATTTTTAAGATAATTTCCCTTATTTGTCACAATCACTTAGCTTTACTTCATTAGTTAACCGGTTATGTAACTAAAACTATTCAGCCTTCTGCTTATTTCTACAGATACTTCTTTGCAGTTTTCGATTTCAAAGCTTCAGCTTCAAACGCTTTTGCAGATTAGCATGTTATCTACAGATGACTCTCCTAATCGAATGTTGTGCCTAATTATTGTAAGTTTTATTCGATTACTACCTTATCATGCTTCTTGCTTTTTTTATTAATTTTCCAAAGAATTTTTACAATCCTCGGTTCGTTCAACCTTAAAGCTCACTCTTCATTCATCCTCACATCTCTTCCGTGTAGCTTCAGCACCTATCTGCCAAACTAGTCTCTCTTCTCTTCCTCTCACTTTCCTTCTCTCTCTATAACAAGCTTTCCTTTCACTTTTTTACCTCCATCTTTATCTTCTACAGTTTTTCTATCACCCTTTCCATATGTCATATGCTTACAAACTCTCTTTGAACACCTTTTCTTTGCCTTTCTCTTCACCTCTCTCTCATCTTGCAATCTCTCTCTCTCTCTTTCTCTGTATCTTAACCTTTTAACCTCTTACTCCCTCAATCTCTCTTAACATGTATTTACATAAGATTTTGACATATTTATGAACAAAAAATATGTTGAGGGAGTATGAGTGTAAAGCTATTTGCTGTGAAAATAATTAATTAACGCCCTATCCTTGCAGCCATTTGTTCCGTTCGGATGTCAACTGAAATCGCTCTCTCATTTTCTTTTGAATTTAATTCTTCAAAACCCCCTCGAATATTCAAATATTAAACTTTTCTTAATTTGCTCTCAAATCCATCATCTCTTTTCGCCAATTTTTAGTCTTAAAATATATAAATTTCTTTTCGTCTTTTTTTGTTCTTCAAGATTGATGACGAGCAATTGATTCGAACAAAAAGACATCTGCCAACTTCAGACGCTGAGTTCACATCTCCATCTCTATTTCGCCATCTGTGCTATTGTGACCTTATTAGTCCTCTTATTCAACTTTAATTAATTTTTTTTTCTTCGCATCATATTATATCATATACCATTAGGGCTTCTTCATTCATTCCTATTACTGGCATCAACAAGACTTGAAACATCCACCGCTCACGGTTTTCTCTGTTATCTAGTCTTCTTATTCTTCTTCTTCTTCTTCATCTTCTTCTTCTCCTTGTTCATCCCTCGATCATTCTGCCCCTTCTCCTTCTCTCTGTGTGTATGTTTCTCTATTTCTACCTCCCTCTCTCTATCCCTCTCTCATCAGAAAGACAACAGCTTTTACTCTTCGCAAAGACACATCGTACTCATCTAAATCTTTATTTTCTGTTTTTGTACAAATTATCTTCTGTTTGCTGAACCACAGACGATATTCCCACTAAATCCTATACCACATAATTATTTTTTGAGAGTGTATATATGTGTGTGTGAGTGTATATCTATGTATGTTTCGTTCATTTGACAGAAAAAAAGAGAGACAAACTAGGCTGATTATACCATATGAGGTGATTGTATGATGAGACAAAAAAGGAATATTTGATTACAAATCTGTTCATGACTTTCATAAGTTATTCACAACTGGTTACTATCTTGTCTCTCTATCATATACCGTTTGTCTTATGTAATTCTCATTTCATCTTATTTTCTTTGAATATTCATCGTTTACAATATTGTTTCTATCCTCATTCCCTCTCAGTAACCACTCCCTTTGACTTCATTTTCAAACTTTTATTTTGGCGCTTCTTTCTCAAACGCTTTCAATTTCAAAAATTATCGATGGACTCCCTCTCGCTCGTCCTCTCTCCATACCTCTCACTCGGTATACTATAATCCATCTTCTCGAACTATTCTTTGTTAGTTAACTATGCTATTGATTGATTAAAACAGTTTTTTACTTTTTTTTCTCATGATGACCGTCAGAAGCTTAACTTTCATTTTGACACCGTTGAACACGCAGAGCGGTTGCATTCATTGTTAAATCATATAAAGCTTCATAAAGCCTTCAATGACCTCTTTTTTTCGTATAATTTTTGTAAAATGTACGTCAAATTATTTTGGTGGGAAACATGTTTCGTTTACGAAAATTAAATGTTCTCGTTTTTAAGACAATTTTCCTCCAAACGTAAATTCAGGGATTGTCCTTCTACTTAATTAGAAGCGTTCCTGTTTTAGGGAGTCGATCGGAAACAATTTCAAACATAATTTTTATTTTTCTCCTCTTCGCTTAAATGTGTCTATTAAAATGAACCTTGTACATTGAACGTTTACAAACAAATTTCCAATTCGTGTAAAGCTTCTCGCTCGGTGTGTATGTGTATGTGTCTTCAGCTATATGCTGTCGTGCTATCTGTATGTGCATTTGTAATATTTTGAGAAGAAAAGTTAGCAAAAAACTGTTTTTAACGACATTTTTGCCTCAAATTCCAACTCAGACACGTCTGTGTGTTCGTTTCGGATTTCTCTTTTTCAGTTTTCATATGAATCGTCTAAGTTTTTTTTCTGTCTTTGCAGCATTAGGTGTCGGTATTGGTTCTCAAGGTTGTCCAAAGTTTCTCCAAGTAGATCAGGATGAACTTGGCTTCCTTTTTTTTCATTTTTTAAGAAACAAATTTGTCTTTTTTTTTCTAAAAAAATCTTTTGAACGAAACACTGATAGGTTTGAGCGAAGTGTTGTCGGTTATCATTTGTTATTTTAATCATTCTCTCTCTATTCTAGTCTCTCTCTCTCTCTCTCTGTCAATCCTTTGCCCTCTCTGTCTCAATTAAGACATTAATTACGAGAGAATAAAAGAGAATTTATAGTTTTTTCTTCTTATATACTCTCTTAGAGTGTATGAGATTTTGAAGTCAACTATCATCTTCATATCCTTTTCATTTGAAAATTTTAATAAATTTTGACAACAATGGTGACCGATGGTCTTGGTCATCATTTCATCTTTTTATATTCAAATATTATATATAAATGACCGTGAAAAATCTTTTTTTATTTCAAAATGCTTCTTGCAAACAAGACAATGAAGATGTACTGACTGTTTGACACTTGATCATTGACGTTGTGCAAGCTTTTACTCGTCTAATTGCTTTCACACCATCTCTTCCAATTTCTTTTAACTTTGATCTGATGAGCTGGAAAGTTGACCTTGAACGAACTATCTCCTCCATTTAATCTTTATTTTTTTTTAACTTTCTTCACATTATGTCTTTGTGACTTTCAGATGTCATGGAATTTATCAGATAATAAACTTTTCATAAGAATAGAGAGAGGTAGAAAACCTCGTCTGAAAGTCGATGAGACAGGAAGGACTGTTCATGTGAGTTGTCATACAATTATGGATTATGCTAATCATTCAATTATCATAATCGCATGAAATATGAATGAGAGGTGACAACAAAAAACGAATGAAAGACGTTTAAGGCTGTCCTTCCCAATGAAACAAATGTAAATTGGCCTCCGATAAAAACAGAATTATCAGGCGGATATACTATTACCATTCAACGTTTGCAACAACAATACAAGATCTCAGTTCAGCACTTGGTAAGAGAAAATGAAATGAAGAATAGCAAACAGATGATTATCATGTTATAGCATGAGAAGAAGCCGGAGATAGTTGTCTACTCAACACCATGTGCATATGATAATGAATTGAAAACAGTCATCAAAGAGATGAACACCCAAATCAATGATGTGAGACATCTCTCACTGTCTTACAGCCTCATAACCCATATGATTGTTTAAGGTTGGCATAGCTGGTCCAAATTTGGATGTTTTAGGAAATATTAAATGTCAAAACATAACATTTGAATCAACTGTCGGCACATTACATATAAATGCTCGAATACTAAGTAATAGATTAGTCTTATTGGCTCAAAGCGTTGTCATTTCGACGGAATCTTTACTGAGCACTCGAAAATTTCGTGTAAGTTCTTTTAAATATTTGATTAAACGGTTTTTTGTATATTTCTGTTAACATATTACAGTCTGTATCGAGAAAACTTCAATTAGATGGTCGATTATATGCTCATGAATGTAGTGAATCTCCTCGACATCTTTCGGTTGTTTTCGATTCAAATCTCGTTCATCTGGGAGTTGATGGATGTATTGGAGAATCAAATGATAAAGAAAACAATAAATTATCCAACAAAAAGTCATCTCAAGTAAATGTATTAACGAAAAAGGTTTTTACGAGTTTCTTCAAACTTTTTTTTCCTTTCAGAAAGCGTCTCAAATCACCGTGGACACGTTATCCATCCAGATTACGGGATCTTTGGCTAATTATGGTCGCATAATCTCATTGGAAAAAACTGAACTTAAAATCGGAGATAGTTTATTGTCGCTGAGTGATGGAACTATTGATAGTGCTGGTCGAGGTTCATTAGAAATTTCTGTTATTCAGATATATCATATTTATTTATTTAAGGATATGATGCATTGAAAGGGATCCGAGGCGTACGATCACGAACTGCATGTGCTCCTTCATCTGCATCTTTGAGACAAGCTATAACTTCACAGAATGCAAATGAAGCTGCGCATCTGATTGAAAATGGAGTCGATTTGAATGATCAATCTAGTCGTGTAATTTTTGATGTTTGTCAACTTGAACACGTCATTATTCATTCAGATGAATAGAAGAAATCTGACTTTACGTCAAGAAGCCATCAAGAAGTATCATGAGAAGAAAGGTGAATCTCTTCTGAACAAGAACCGAGCCAACATCACCCTCATAAATGCCCTTTTTACCATCCACGATTGGAAGTATTTGAATATTCTAGTTTCCCAAGCTTATTTTTCTTTCTTTATCAGACGAGGAACAATCCAATCATCAGCTATCTTGGCTGTAATAGGCAAACGATGTGACGATTGTGCCCAGTTCTCAGCTCAAGAGTTACAAATGAAAGTGAGAAGGAAATTACTGAGATGATTGAAAACAAAAAACTAAATTTAAGATCGGAAGCAGTGCTACTGTTGAGAAAGATTCAATTTGGAGTTCATCGTGGATAGAAATGGAAGTCGGAGCTGATATGACTATTTTGGGTACGTAAAAATCTGTTTACGTGAAAAGGTCAATTGAAAATCTCGTTCAACTGTTTTTCACGTGAACTTGTTACGAGAAACAGAACATATGTGATTATCTCACGTGAAGATACACTTCCGGCGTTGAAATGCCATGTGAACAAGTTTTCTTTTGTTCATAACGAACGTCGCGTGATCATCTGCTTATGCCCCGAGATGTTACGTGAGCGAGACGCGTGACGTCAGTAAAATGACACGTGAACCGTTTATATTTCATTTCTTTGAAAAAACATAAACGAGGAGCGGTTGGTGATAATTTAAATTGCAGGTCAAGTAAAACATAAAACTTTAATTGTTTCTTGTGTGGGAACAGTGCGAGTCACTCAAACGGCCATCATAAATCATGAAATCTTTGCGAGAATTAACAGTAAAAAGTTTGTCAATTTCTATCGTAAACGTTTTTATTTTTAATTTTACATTTTCAGTTTTGATTGTGACGGAATCTGGTCTATAGGAGAGACATTCGTAATTGATTCCTCAAACAATATAACTTTTTATTCAAATTCTTATATTGAATCGGAGAAGGTTTCAATTCATTTTCATCTTAAATGCAAATTAACTTTCGTAGATGGAAATTGGGTGTGAAGGAAATGTGGTTTTGAGGGGTTCTTGGCAAGTTGGCACTCTTTGGATGAAAGTTGCGGATATGTTTGACATTAGTAATACAGCCAAAGTGTTCACTGAAGAGAATGTGACCATCACAGCAAAGATGTTTGTTTTCATACGCACATTAGTCATTTGAATGGAGACTGTTCAGATTGAAAAGTCAGGGATTTTTCAATTCTGTTGAAAGCTGTCAGATGCAAATTCATGAAACTGCTAACTTCTTGCCTTCATCTAAGCTCGAATGTCGGAATTTGAATTTGATCTCTGAAGGTAACTGTGTGCTGGCTGGTATTTGGATGGTTAATCAACTGAATGTTTGAACATTTCGTTCAGTTTTTATAAAAGAAAGTTTAATTTTAGGTTTATGTTCGAAAGAATTTCTCGACTCTCGAAGGAGCGAAGTGTGCTATATTCACCAAAGCTACAGTAACAACTGGTTCATTCCGAAACGATTCACTGTGGCAGGTGAGTATGCTAATTTATGTTGTTTTGTCAATCATTAACTATACGATAACAACATCAAATGCTCACAACAGAGAACAAGCAAATGATCAGTCAATCAATATGCTTTTTCAGATTGAGAATGACGGTTTGTTCACAATCGGGAGAATTGAACAAAGTTCACATGGAACTCTGTTCATCAAGCAAACGTTGGATCTTGTTTTGCATTCTGAATCTTCTAATAATTGGGATGGAAGAATAGTTTGCAGCCGGTTTTTACTCCGGTTTGTGTTTTAATTAGGAAAGTTATCTATTGTTTCATTAAGTTGTTTGAAATTATGTAAATTCGATGGGTTTTTGCGAGCTAATGAGGCTGAAGTAACTGTACCCTATCCTGGGGAATCTCAGATGCATGCTAATGGTCAGTGGGACATATTGGCTGGACCTTTGACGGTAAAAGGAAACAGGTAGGAAATCAAGCCTGTTTATCTTGGTTATAGCAAACAACTTCTAGCTCATACTTTTCCTTGTCTCCAAAGAAGAAACATCCGTTCCCTGCTTTCATTCTTTCGGGACGTCTCTCAGCAACAGCTATCATAGCCCCTTTCACTTCAATTGAAATATCTGAAAATTCTATAACTAGACTGATTGGATTATCGAGTCCAAACCCTGAGATTGAATTCAATGTTTTGATCGCTGCAGGGTCATTAACAACAGGAAAGAATTCGACTATTGTTTCTTTGGCTAAAAACCCTTCAATGGAGGGAATAATATGTGCTGAAACATGGTTCCATGAGGGGCAAATTCGATTCCAAGCTCAAGAAGTTCATTTGCTAGCCAACAGTTGGATTCAGAATGGCCGTTTAACCAATTGTCAAACAAAAGAAAATCATTTGCAATCCGCACGAGTAGTAGTAGAAGAACTTCTGTTAAACAAAGGAACGATTGCATGTGATTGCTTACAAATTATTGGGGAAGGAATGCTTGAAAATCATGGAAGGATCTTTGCTTCTGAGAATATGGACATCAGCTTGAAGAATTTTGATAATGATCAGGTTTTAACAAAAAAGTTTCTTGTTGTTTGAACATATTATTAAAGGGGTCGATGGAATCAAAAAACAGCATGAAGCTTCTATCTGCCTCGAGAGATTGGACCAGACTGAGCGGGTCAATCAAAGCTAAAACGGATTTGCAACTCTGTGCTCATAAATTAGAATTTGCAGTCAAGGTATCAATTGCTTTCACAAGATCATTCACATATATATGCGTTTCAGGATGCTACCTCGTTATCTAGAGAAGGACGTCTCAGTTTCTCCGCAAAGAACGATCTATTCCTTTCAACGCCTATTGTCGATGAAAACCATCAACTGGCTCTAGGATGCGCAGCTCAAAGATCTATCATCATGAACGCCAAAGTAGAAATTGATCGCTTAGAAGTCCTGTTAGGTGGAAGTGAAATAGACGCTACTCTTCTTCACTTGCGTGAAAATGCTGACGTTTACGTCAATAACCTTATTATAACTGGAAGTTCCAAAGAAATCCAAATTTGCTTGGAAGGAAAGCTTAGATGCGGCCGTTTGTCGATATCTTCCGGTTTCCAAAAGGTCACCTTGACCGGTAGAGGTTTTGCTGAGGTATTTGTTAGAGTCTTACGATAAAGCTGGAGGTTGCTTCTACAGATTGATAATTTGCAAGCCGATAAATCTGATGTTCTTCTGGATCTCATCGAAGTAGCTTCATTTGGCCACATAACAGCTAACGCCGTAGAGATACTTTCACAATCCATTCTAAGGTTGAAGCCATATGGAGAGGTTGGAATTAGCAAGCCTCTCCAATCATTTCATTTGTTTCAGTCCGACTCGAGCACCATTCTAACACCCAACTTGAATATCAAAGGAAATCTTTTAGTGGATGGAAAGTTGTTCATTACAGCTTTAAAGGTAGTGTCTTTATATCTCCTTGGTAGAAAAACAAAAAATTTTAAGGGCTCTGAAATATACATAAATGGCTCTATCGTGGGGTCATCCCCTGAATCAGAAGTCTGTATCGAAGGAATCAAGCTGCGACTCACAGGACTGATAGCTAGTTTGAAATTCCTGGAAATCTTTGCAAAAGAGACCCTCACAATCACGAATGGGAAATTCAAAGTAATCATCAACACATTTCAAAGTCTACCTTGACGATCGAGTTTTCAGAATATAAATGGATCAGCAATCGAATGTAAAGAGCTCTTTGCTAACGTCAATATGGATGACTGTCTGCAAAGCGTATGGAATAGCGAAGTTGCAAACATCTCAGGAAAATGTATTTCTTCAACCGGATCAGACATTCTTTCTATATTCTCATCAACTATTCAATCTTCAATCAACTGCCATAATATGCAAAACGTTTGTTTTCATTATTATTATTGTTTTATTGTGTTTCATGTTTCAGCTTACAATAGGATGCTCAAGATCAGCTTACATAACAGGATCATTGTCAAGCTGTAAAAAAATAGAATTTGATGCAAAATGGTTAACAAGTGATTGTAAGATAACAGATTGTGAGAATGTCACATGTTCTGCTTGGTCCTTGCATATCAAATCACCTATAGAAGCTGCTAAAATTGAGTTGTCCTCATTAGGAGTTGTCTTATTAACTACTTCGCTCACAACACCTGATATGCAAGTAGTTGGCCTCTTTGTATTGAGTCCAAACCATTCACTACCAACATCTTGCGTTCATTCATTACTTCTCATCAGTCCTTACATGGAGACTGCTCCAACGGGACTTAGTTATCTGCATTTCATGATTGGAGATGCCTCTACTCCAATATCTTTGTCGCCTTCCGAATTGACTGCATGGAAAGAAGCAGCAACAATGATGAAAGATCGATTCAGTAGTACATCGATTGATGCTGATGAGTTACTGCTGGGATTAAAATATCTCAGTGATCTTCGTCCATCTAACATCACCTTGAATGTCACACACAACATGTATCAGGAACTAGACAAAATGATTGAGAAGTTCAACAAGAGCCCAATCAACTTCTTCAGTAGTGCCGATTTGGTTGCCATTATTTATTCCAGTCGCAACACCATTATTCCAACAGCAAATGAGAAGATAATTAATAAAAAAAGCAAAAAAAAATCAGGTTTGAATTAAACCCAAAACTTTCTTTGCTCAACGTCCATTTCTAGAAAGTTTACTGTTCTCCGTGCTTTCACGCTTCCGTTCAGCTAAGTACGACAAGAACTGTAGAGCATCATCCGATTCAGATGGCGGATACGCCAGTCGAAGTTCTTCAGAAGATCTTGATATCAAAGAGAAACGGTATACTTATAACTGAAATAATTATGTATTATCACATGATTCTATTTTCAGAGTCTCCACGGCTTCACCTACTCAGAGCATAGTCTTACCGTTGTTCGAGAAAGATCACATGGAAAGAATCGACAGAACATTGGAGGAAGCAGACAACTCAAAGCCTAATAATGCAGAACAAATCAGCGAATCATTTTTAGAGTATAAGATCCTTTCAAATGCATTATTTCAAGTGATAATTATTAAAGGGAAGAAGAGGAGTTATTACAATTTGAAGAATTGGAACAGGAAATATGTGATGCCGAAAATGGCATAGTTAGAACAGATTACATAATCTGTCACAATCACCGTATTCAACTCGCAAGGTGAATTTTTTGAACCAACAAATATTTAATAATCTTGTTCAGAATTAAACAAAAGCTTTCGCTCTGCTCGACCAGTAGACCACAAACCCAGTTCCCAATTATGAGAGTGAGCTCATCCAATGACTTGGTGATGAAACGGATAAAGGTTTGCTTAGATTTTGCAGATTCTCATGAACAATAAACTTATAGGTGAAGAATGCTCTGTCGTCATTGGATTTGAGATCATTCGGAAGTGAAATCTCTCTGCTTTCACTTGATTTTTCAAAGACACCAGACGTGGGCAGTCCCATTCACTACCCTTCTAGTCCTCTTCAAAGGTTTAATTATCATTCATAATACTTATAACCAAAATAATAAATTGCAGATCTCGTATACCGCGAGGATCATTCAGAAGTCCTTGCAAAATGCAAAGCCCTTGTGAATAATTTTTTTTATTTTCAGTCTCTACTAACCATACTAACATATCTCCTCTGCTAACAATCTAATATTACTATATCTAACTAACAAGTATTAATATTACTAATATCAAGAAATATTAACACAAAGCCAGCATATCCTTCTACACGTATCGGGTCATCTTTCGTTTCAATCGTCAATCGTTGTTACATGTTCTGTGTTTTCGTTTGAACATTTTGTAATTATAAACTCATTTATCAATGAGCTGTTTAATATAATAATAATAAAAGAATATTTATTTACATCTATTATATGTATGGAAATACAACAAAAAATGCAAGAAAAAAAATTTTTTTTGAAGTTTTGAAATACAAAAATGACGACTACACTTGATCAGCTGCACACGTATCTTGACGTCTTCCAAGAAATCACTGTTTCCACTGTTTCCACTGTTTCCAACAGTTTCCATGTTTGCGAACAACTCAAACACTTTCAGAATTTTCTTTTTCTATGCAAAAGGTATAGTTAGTTCGTCTACTAATTTTATATAATTTTGATGAAAAATGATATACCGCACTCTCACCTGGACTTATGAAAAATTCAAACTTGCGTAGATGAATAACACCTGGATCGTCATAGTAACTTGACTCAACTGATTCCTCTGTTTCAACTGATTTCGTGTTCTTTTTACCCTTCTTTTCCCTATACTACAGCTTCTGAATCAGCTTTAGGTTCGTCTTATTCTATTCGTGTGCTTGTCTTCAGATTACTGCGAATGGCGTCAAATAACTCATTGGAGGACGCCTACTGTTATTATGTTACAAGAGGAAAATTAGTAATAAAGGAATGTGATTATCCTTTCATCTACTATGTAGAATCTGCCTTCTTCCGAAGTTTTCTTAGTTTTCATTCTACTCATATCTGTAACCGTATCATTCAGGTATCTTTGGATGGTCTTTGACATTCTTCGAAAGCTTATTCGTATTAGCCTTCTGGTTTTGTAATTTATTTATCGAAAGAGATTTCATGGAAGCTTATATGAGTCTTGTGGTAATGGCTACTACTATGGGAACCTTTTGTAAAATCGGCTGTATTGTAGCCCAATTTATATTCTCCAAAGGTTCAACTCTGTAAGAGATTGTTTTTCCAACACTGAATGATCAGACTCTATTTTTGAAGGGAAACAGCTTTTTATCTTGGATATAATATGAGCTCCGTTACGGCTGTGATGACTTTATTGATTGGCATGCCAATCTTTCTATATATGGCCTTGAAAGTTGGGACTTCAAGGAAACAGAATTATGGATGTTGCACATGGTTGATGGCAATTCCGAATAGAAATAAACATTCAAATGTATTACAGGACCCCTTTCTTATTGATTTTTATCTATTCCTTTATCATGAATTGGGTTTATAATTTCGTGACACAAACTGTTTTCACGATTCTCCTATATTTTCTTATTGCTCCAATGATATTATCAATTCTATTATCATTTGGTCTCATAGGATTGGTTAGATTGACTCAGCAATGAGAAAGATTAGGGCATCGACAACATCCTGAGAATCTTTCAGGCACTTCCAGCTTTCACATGTTGCTCAGGTACACGGCCTGAAATGGATCGACTTGATCCAGTGATCTTTGATGCGAGGTCGCGTCTGGGATGGGCAATAGTCTTCTCGATAGTCATGATGTTGCCCTCGTGTGCAGTTTTGTGTAACAGCATTTGTTGAGGCGAAAATGAGAAAAAACATGAAATTCAGATTGCCTGGTGAAACTAACATTCTTCACAAACACAAAAGATGTTTATGAAGTGTTTATGAACGAGGAATTAACGCGTATTTGGACATTTCTCTTTCCAATATTCTGTTTGATCCTTATGTTTGCAATATTACCGAATTATCGAGATAAAATACTCTGTGGCTGTAGGAAACAGCGATATGTCAGTCCGGTTTGTTTTTTGCCTCTCTCATTCCGAACAGCATTGTTTCCTTTAGATTATCACAACAGCTACTGTTATACCCAAACCACCGGGGCCGAATAATAAAAAACTTGAAATTAGTCAAACAATGCCTATGACCATTGTTCCCAATATAAGTGAGCAAAGACCATATCCAGTTGATGTTAATCATATTCTCAGCCCTATATCAGTGAAGGAATGAGTTCGAGATCGAAGCTGCTATTTAAACGTTTTGTTGCCAATACTCTGTGTCAATTAAATAATTAATGAAATCATTATCTAGAAGAATATGAGGTTTTCTCATCATTTTTTTCTCAATCGCAATCAAAAGAACAAAGTGACGAACAACATTCGCTTCCGACTTGTGCGATAAGATGTGTAAAAGTGAAATAAGAACTTCTAGAATTGCGAAATTAAGACAACACTAGTAGATTCACATCTTAATTGACTCAAACGCATCGTGTTCTACATGGATAAACCATTGGGACGAACATATTCTACCTTTCGGAAAGCACAAACATAGAGGAAAGAGAATTGACCGATAAACCAGAAACGCGCCAACATCGCTGCATGACGTGTTTACATCTTTTTTCGGCGTTGTCTACCTTAGTAGTTGCTCCGTGAAGTAACTTTTTCCTGTAATTCTAAACTTTATTTCAATAATATAAACCTTGTTAATTTTCTCAAATGCTTCCCAAGCTTGAATTCAATTGATTTCCGTAGCATTCATGATCGATAATCTATGACATTTCCCTTCAAAGTCATCAGGACTGATCCGCGATGTGCACTACTCGTGACTTTGATTAAACAATTTTCAAATGTTAACTTTTCCTTTTGAGGTGTGAGTCATTATGAAAAAGAAGTTGTAGGGACCTAAGCATGATGTTTTAATTACCCGCATGTTTTTTACGCAATAATTAGCTGCCCCATTTGGACCTCACTAACACATTCGCGACCATAGTTATTGAAACCAAACGATAGAAGTCGTTCTATATATACGAAAACTTGCGTACTTTTTTAGTCTTTTTGGTACCATTAGAATAGTATTTTTCGGTTAACTTTGATTACTTTATAAATACGCAAATGTAGGTAAGTTAAATTTTGAATGAGAACACAAAAATGTTCAAAATTGACTGAATGAGTACACCCGGTCGCGATTGTGTTAAGAAGTTTTTTTTGAAGACTCTATTTCATATATATTCATACTCAGAGTGAACCCATTTTAGCATTTCTAGAGGTTTCGTTTTGCATGCACGTGCCCATTTCAGAATGCGATGTCTTATTTAGTCAATGACAAACCTGACTCTGATTCCCTCTCGCAGATTCCTTTGGCTACTAGTCCTGTTCTTCGTACCTGGCGTCTAACTCGTTGTGGTCTTGTAGAGATAACCGATAATCCAGCAATGGGAGCTTTCTTGGACAAACCTCGAACTGTAAAAACTAACACATGTGGAGAAGGCCACGTATGTGCTCTAATAATATTTGAATATCACAACACTCGTATTTAAGGGTCTTCGTTCTGCTCTAGGCAGCATGCAAGGATGGAGAGTAGACATGGAAGATGCGCATGTTCTTGAGGTACAAAGTGTTTGAAAGTTTGTCAGGTTATTTGATTTTCATTCAGTTTTCCATGGGTAATTGTGAACCCTACAACCAGTGGTCTTTTTTCGCAGTGTTTGATGGACACGCTGGAAATGTTGCTGCTAAATTAGGGTCAATGCATATTGTGGAGGCTCTCGTTAACACAGAGCAATTTAAACTTGTAACTTGCGTAGATTCTATCTCTTTTACTGTTTTTTGTTACAGTTGCGCGAAAAGTTATCTCAGAATAATAATGTACTTACTGAGGAACTCCTAGAGCTAATGAAACAAGGAATAGTTGACGGATTTCTTCAACTTGACGAAAAGATGCGAGAAGAACTCGATAAGGTGTGAAATGTTGTTTATACTTTTCTTATTTTCTCCTCAGGGACGTGATCGTAGTGGCACTACGGCAGTCTGCGCTATTGTTACTCCATCTCATGTCGTTATTGCTAATTTAGGTATTTCATAATGTCGTTTCATACATCATTGTGCTTCATTGCTTCAGGTGATTCACGCGCAGTGTTCTGCAGAAAAGAAGGGCATGTGTTTGGCACACATGACCATAAGGTATTTCCTCATGTTTATCTATGTTCATATGAATTGAATTAAGCCCAACTTGGAAAAAGAAAAAGAAAGAATAGTTCGCGCTGGTGGCTCTGTAATGATTCAAAGAATAAACGGTAGTTTGGCAGTCTCCAGGTGATTTCAGTTAATCGACTCTCTCTGAAATTCAAGTTCAGAGCGTTCGGAGATTTTGAGTACAAGAGCAGCCTAGAATTGAAGCCAGTACAGCAACTTGTATCTCCAGAACCTGACGTCTACATTCTGCCAAGGAATGTTGTGAGTATTTCGTAATCAGATAGATAAGTGCTGGTATTTTTTCAAGGAGAATGACGAATTCCTATTACTCGCATGCGATGGTGTTTATGATGTCATGGAAAACGAGGAATTATGTGATTTTGTTAGAAATCGCCTCAGAGTACAAGATAATCTTGAATCTGTTTGTAATGATGTCAGTTACATATTGCATTTTTTCATTTACCATGAATCATGCAGGTCCTCGATGCTTGCTTATGGAAAGGATCCAGGGATAATATGACTGCGATTGTTGTTTGTTTTAGTGCTTCTCCCAAGATTAATGAAGTAGATAAAGCTGAAGAAGACGAGTGGAAATCCAAAGTTCGAACACTCTTAACAGGCAACTCCATATGAGACTATATCAATAAACTTGTGATTTATAGAAACAGTGGAAGAAGAGATTAGTCGAGATGACTGGACTGACGATAGTGAACTTCGAGTGGAATCAATTCTCAAGTTAGCATTTGTCCATGAGGATTTCGCTCAGATAAGTCCCCGTGATTATCTTAAAAAACGATTGGCTGAAGAGGTGAGTTCCATTTCTTGCAGCTTTTACATTCATCAAATTTTAAGATATTGGATGAAAAACAAATTAAGCACGACTAAGTAAGATTGTTCTGAACAAAATGTTCCAAATCCATCAAATCCTATTTAAATTGAAATTCCGACAGTCGTCGAGCCATACTGGTAAGATTTATGATTATTGTAATAAATTCGTTTGATTATATTATTGGAAAGCCTTTTAAACTAAAATTCGTATTAAGATTCTTTTACTTTTTGTTACGGATCTATCCATCCCTTCCACTATTTGCTAAATGATAGCATGTTTAACTTTTTATATATTTTCGTCGTATTTATCCTTCCCTATTTCGAAGTTTCTATGTATTGAGTTCTTTGTGCCACTAATATTCTATTCGATCCTTTTTGTATGCTTGACGTCTTGTATTATATATAAACACAAACAGTTTTCTAATCACGTTTGCTTCTAAGTTGACACTTGATTTTACTCTTTCCTTGCTGTCGAAGCATAAATGTGCTCAGGTACTTGGAAATTTAATTCGTATCATATATTATCAGAGTAAGATTTGTGATCAGATAGGCAAACGCTTGAAATCGATAGCGACCGTTAATGCAGCCAATGTTCCAGCAATGGCTAAGGATAAAAACACCATAAAGTAGGGAAAACAACCACATTCTGCGTAAAGGTCACCGTTGCTAAATACTTAAGTTTAATACTGAAGATTTCCAACCGACCCTTCGCAATTATCCAATAGTTTTTGGATTTTCCTGAAGCTTCCGCTTGTAGCCGTCATCGTAGTGCCATTTCCACCAGTCATAGTTCCACTTCTTGTTCTTCCGCTGGATGCTCCTGTTGAAGCGCCGCTAGATCTAGTAGTACTTCTTGTTCTGGAAGCACTTGTTTTCGTCGTAGTTCTTCCGCGACTACCTTGAGCCTGAAAAAATTATGTTGCAAACATCGAATAGGAAAAGTTATCTACTGGCTCGAAGTCATCTTCTGTCACATTTTCTTTTCCTCCTTTCCTAAAAATGAATATACAGAATTGAAATAACTCATTCTAATTTACTTCAGCCAGTACTCAATTTCTTTCGACATGGTAAGATGAGGAAAATGTCTGTATGAAGTTACGATAAGCTCATCAGTGACGTGGCACGCTAATGTACGTGTGATGAAACGTGGCTCAAAAACATTTCGGATATCTGACCAAGATACCAGAGAGTTATGAAGTGGAAATAAAATATTCTCCGAATATGTTTTTTATCCATAAAATCTTTTTGATTCAAGTTTAGAGCATATTGGATAGCTCATTTATTCAATTTGGTAACGGAGGATTACGGAGAATGGCTCTTCTCGGCACCAGAGTCGGCGACATGGCTAAACGTGTGTTCGTGACATTCCATTAATTTGAGTGCATTTATAAATGAGTTCTTGCTCAAGAAATTTCGCATTATTCATTTTTGTGTGAGAATGAGAGTTGGTGTTCTACTAGCTCTCGTCTCTTCAGTCCAGATTTACCAGCAAAGTGTTTTATCGGCGGCATCAACTCATTTTGAACCTCTGGAGTTTGCCGTAGCTAATTCTGCCTTTTCATTAGGTAATACTTAATGCTTCTTTAAAAGACTGACGGAATTGAATAGGTAAATTTGTGTCCACATTCTACCTTGTTTTCAAGCCTTGTTCAAGTGCTTCCGCTCTTCATACAGATGCAGTGTTACTCATAATCGGAGGAATCATTGGATTAATTCCCACGTAGTTATTGTTCATCATACATATATTACTAGAAAACTACTTTCAGTAGCACATTCTTAACGATCGGAAGATTTTTAATTGGATGTGGTGCTGGATTAGGTTTTGTAGCGTCGACTACCAGGCTGTGTGAAATCGTTCCTTATGCGGAGAGGCCGAAGAACTTCTTCGTCTTGGGAATAGCATTTGCATTCGCATCTTTTTTGGTTAATGCATTACAGTTCGCTGATTTCAATTATCAGCTGATCATCTCATTTTTCTCAATACTCACAGTGTTATGTGGTAAGTTAGATATCTGATCTTCCGAAATATTGTTGAAGGCCTCGTGTACATAATGAACGAACAAAATATCAAAAGTGTCGAACGGTCATCTGAGTCTCTGGCTTCGGAGAGCTATCTTCGTTTCTCCAGTTTTCCATCTTTACTGATGTATGGATTAATGATAGCCAACGTCGTAAGATTTGGATGTTGTGGATTTCTTTGATTTCTATCCTGCTAGGCCATTGGAGTTCCTATCACGCTTGCATATTCGACACCCATATTCCGCAGCTTTGGAAACACATTAGCAACTTCAACATCATTCTCGATGACATTCCCATTAGCTCAGATGGGTTTGATGGTTTTACTCTACAATATCTCATCTGATCGGTGCATTTTCGGAATTGTTTTCGAGTCTTTCATTTTCCGCTTTTAAGGAAAATGCTCATCCTCGGCGGATTCTGTTTGTCAATAGGTGTCCAAGCGGTTCTTCTACTCACGAACGTATATCCTTTCCTTCCATTTGGAGTGAGTTAATTAGTGTACAATGGGATATATATGTTTCATTTAAGTTTCACAAATCATCACAATCACTAATTTTCTGGATTTTGTGTGTTATCATATCAGTTCCTTGTAATACTTCGCTTTGCTTAATATCAGGTAGTCTGCGAACAAAGGCTCATCCTATCAATCCGCATGCTTCCATACTCGCCAAAAACACAGAATGGTTGCTTTCACTTAGATTCCAACACTTTTTTCCAGAACAATTCAACAACTCACCAAATCAGATGAATCAAATAAGCCGTGGGCGATCGGTTATGTGGATTTTAACAGCTTTGAGGTTCGCAAACAACACAACTTTAAAAAACAATATCGTATCTTATGAATCTTTTGTTTTTCAGTACGGCAACATTCCCATACATGTTAGGAACAAATGGTTTCTTCATAACCTTCTTTCCCTACTTCTTCATATCTTCAATCGTTTTAGCATTTATAGCTCGCATCTTTCCTCCTTTAACAACTGTGTTATAGAAGCTTATCTCTCAATTATCATCTTTCATTAGTGGGATGCGACTGATCAAGAGCGTTAAGGTTGAATAAATAGCTTGACGGTTTTCTCCAAGTACTTCTTCTGTAAGATCGTTTGACTCCTTTAAACATGACATCAGAAACTCTTTCAACTGCTTTAGTTTTTTGTTTTGATCCATGAAGTCTGTAGTAATTGTATTTCTCATCATCTATAATAAATATAATGTTATAGTCTGATGATCTACTTATGACACCCACTTGCTCCTCGTTTAAGTTCCTTTCAAGGATAGCACAACGATTCGTTTGCTCTTTCAACTTCTGTTCGGCATCACGAGCCTTTAAAGAATTTGTTTTGGGTAAAGATTTAGAAGGATGATCATCAACCTCTGACTTCAAAGTGTCAATTATAAGTTTTGTGTCGTTAACAGCTTTCAGTCTCTTCTTCTCCGACTCCACAGCTCGTTTGTTCGCTTCTCGCAGCTGCTTTTCCGCCTGTAATCGAGTAGAAAGCTGTGAGCTTACTACAGATAAACGCTAACTCGTTTGCCTGTCCCTTCTAACAGCTGATGAAGTTTTGTATTTTCCTCAATTAAGTTCTGAATTCGCGTCTCGCTTTCTTGCAAAAGGTCATGCAATTTGATGCCCTTCTCCTTTTCCTGCTCTATCTCCATGTTTTTTGTGAGAATAGCTCCTTCCAGCTTTTCAATAATCTGAACTTTCATATATTTAATTAGCTGAGGTAATTACTCACTTTACAAGAAGTTTTCATGGCTGTTTCCTTCTGCAATTCTATTTCTGATCTGATATCTTCTATTTCAATCATTAATTCATTCTTAATTTCGTTTCGAAGTCTTTAAAGATTTATTTGAAACACAGCATCTCAGCTTCAATGCACTCACATTTCTTTCATTTTTTTACGATTATTGGCAAAAGATTCTTTTTCAGCTTCAATACTTCTTTGCTTAAAAGGGTTACAAAGATGAGACAGTTGCATCGTCAGACAAACTTGTTGTTCTAATTGCATTTGCAGACAATTATTGTTTTCTTTCAGCTCTTTCAATTCACAATTCATCCTTTCATATTGGCCAATTTGTGTTTCTATAGATAAGCTGCTGAAATAAAATGTACAAAACTCATTCACATACTTATGATAGTTGTCTGAGCTATAAGATCAATCTTCTCCTTTTCCCATTCAATCTGTTTCTCTTTTAAATCACTCAATTTACTTTCATAGTTCTTTAGAATTAGATCATTCTGATAGTCCATGTTCTCTTCCATTCGAGCAATCTTCAATGTGACTTCCGGCTTCAATGAAAGCTGTTCAGAAGAGAAACTCACATTTTCATCCTGGTCTTCAACTTTCTTTTTTAAATATTTGATGATTGTATTTGAATCCATAGTAAGGTTTTCAAATTTGTTTGAAACCTCTTCATTCTCGACGATAAGCTGACCAATCCTGTTCTGGAAACCAAGGACTTGAATTCATCTTCATACCTCCTCATAGATGATGTTCAGTCTAAGATTAACCTACTTGAAGATAGGCTACTTCTGGTAATATTGACTCCATTTTTAGTTTTTCTGTTATTCTGAAATAAAAATTATATTTGAAATGAGCAATCGTTTATGTGCTCGAAGTCATTGGAGTGTGAAGTTGTGGATATTGCTGAATGGGAATTTTAGCGAACGCGATTGAACGCATTGGTTTGTTTCATACTGAATTACCTTTCGAGTTGACTAGGTGCATGTACAAGAAAAAGAATCATCGTGGGATTGTGACAGAAACTTTCTGTCTTCTACGAGATTAAAGACATCTCTCCATATTCAGACATAAAATCTGAAAAGCACTCGTTTTCAGCCAATTTCACAGAAACTTTGGAGATTGATTCGTTCCAATTCCAATTGACAGCATGTATTGGACATGTTGAGTTGAAAGATATTTTTTAAAAGTATCTCGATACGTCATTTTGAGCTTCATCGTTAATTTGTCCGCAGCTGAACGTCTTTCTCCAATCAGATTTTGAAGAAGAATATAAAGTGTCGGCTGCAGCATATAATACACTTAAGATTGTTTTTTTTATTCATTCAAATTTGTATGTGTCAACCCATAGTGCATACAAGTCGAAGAAAAACAAAGCAAGGGAAAAGCTAAAAATTTTCCGAAAATTCTCTTTTCCCCTGTGTTCGCTCATCATTTTTTCAGCCTAAATACCCTTTCTTCTTTCTCCATTCTCCCTCCTTTCTATTCTCACCCTCCATTTGCCCTCTCTCTGGTTTCCATTCTCTCATTCTTTCTCTCTATCTCTATCGCTCTCTCTCTCTTTCTGTCTCCTCCTTCTCTCTTCCCTCCCTTTCTCTCTCTCGAAATTTACTACCATTCCTCTAATAGTAGTGAGTTTTTTATTTTTGCTCTTGTACAGCTCCTGTTCGTATATGCTATCATGCACACGCCCATCGAGCCTACATTCAGATATAAAGACGAATTTCAAACATGTCCGCAATATGATCTTGAATAGTTTTTTCATAACAGCTGTTTCACCTGTCATCATCAAGTCGGCTTGTTCGTAGAGAAACTCAGAGAAACTTTCTTCCTCTTTGTTGATCAATAGATTGTTCTTTTTCTTCTCAAAACTCATGTTCTCATTATTTTTCGTTGAAAAGTTTTTTTAATCTTTTTTTTTTTCTGAAAGTTCTTGAATTGAAGTAATAATACTCGTGTAGTTGTTATAATCTTTTATTCAATTAATCCATCAGCCCACCTGATCACATGATATCACTTGTTCTCGTTTGCCTTCACTTGCTCTCACTTGCTCATGTCAGCTCTCACTCTCTTCTGCCTTTCTAAGATGACTTTCGTAATTTTCAAAGAGATAGAAGAGATTTTGCTTGTTTTTAAATCCAAAATCCCGATGGATTCAACTGAGACGCAAGCAGAAGATAGATAAAGGCGAAGAAAGGAAAGAAGAGTAAAGAGTGGAGGGGGAGGGAATAATTCGGAGATTCGAAGTCAAAGTGGGCAAAAAGAGCACATTTCGCTATATTCAAAGCCATCATTCCAGCTTTTCCCTGTCATTTATACTCCTCTATGTCTAGAAATGCAAATGTCTGGGATAAGCTTCAGCCATACTTCTGTCCCCTTTCGTTTTCCCATTGCTATGTGCTGTATGACCTCATCAGCCGGCACATTATGAACGTCTCTTGACTTCTCAGATCATTTATCTAACATTTATAAAACATATATTTCATTTAGAACCTTACGATATTTATTTAAAACGACTTAAAGTATGGGAAACTCCGAATCTATTGATACTTCCATTTCGCGTGCTGGTTCAGTTAAGACAACTCTAACAACACAACGAAATCGTTCGCAATCTCCGGTGTTACATCGACGAAGTGGCTCTACGAGGTATGAAGTTTCACCTTTTTGGAGTATTGTTACATCTTTTTTTTCTTGTTTTTCTTCTTAAATTCGCAAAAATTTGAAAAATGTTTCTCCCATTTCTCTCTGATGATATACAACACGTGTCTACATAAATGTGATTAAGCACTTAAACACTCTGAATCAGATGATGGGGAAGAATTCGAATATAATTTTCATTAAACTTGTGCATTCTTTATAGAATATGTGCATTTCAGACGTACCGAACCAATACAACCTGGAGAGCCGTTCCGAAGATCGAAAACGTGTCGAGTACGAGACAGGTGAATCAATCTTATTCAATTTTCATAAGCTTCGAGATGTGCAAAGAAAAACATGAGAAAAGTTAGAGATATTGAGATAGAATATGAGAATGATTATAGAACAACTAAAAAAGCTGTTTGTATGACAACTGGTTTGACGTTACATCAAAAAGCTTTACTCACCAGAAAATGGAATCGAATGGACAGAGGTTGTCATTGAGATGTCTTTCTGGACATTTTTCTTGTCATTTCAGCGACTGTCTATGAAATTGGCCGATTAATGTTCGAAAATGTTTTCCAAGAAAATCCACAATATTTAAGTTATATTGATCTCAAAGACGAACCTAATTGGATGAACCATATCAATTTCAAAATTCATGTGCAGGTAGGTAATGACGTCAGAGCAACTTTTTTTATTTCAAAAGACAGTTGAAAGAGTCGAATAATGTTTCTTTGGTGTCATCCATGTGCTGTGTGATGAAAATTATTTTTTGTTTCCAAACAAATGTGTTACCACGTGGCGCGCTATTCAATTTTCACGTGGAATTCCACGTGAATGCACAACAACGTTTGATCGCTCATTGTATGTTTTTGGTGAATGTTGAAAAGTGGTCGTTGAGATATTCGCAGAACGGTTGCATATTTTGATTCTAATCTAGTTTGATTATCTATATGCACGCTTAGCCTTGAGGCAAATTGTAAATGTTGTAGGAGGAGGCGGAAACAATTTAAAATCAATGTAAAAATGATGATTTTCTGTTAACAAATTTGACTTGCAATGCCCAAACTAATTCTTTCATTTGATTCCTCTCATCCATATGTGAAAGCTTTGTGTGCACGTGTATCTCATTGCATTCCCAGAATCTCAGCTTCATGCTTACGTAGTAGTATCTTATTTGACGGCGAGCTTATGGGTTTGACCGAATAGCAATCGCATTGGTACTTCGGAAATCGTTCAATTTGTAAATTATGACGAAAGGTCAACTGACATTGGATGCCTTTCACATTAAGTGATGTCATGAAAGTTGAAATACAACCAAGGCTAAAGGAAAAAATGATAAAATGCTTATGTGAGCCAAAACACTGAGCAAATCATATATCAAATTCTAATATTCCCCTGAGGTCAAAGTAACCAATTTTTACGAAAAAGCTTCAAGAGAATGAAGAAAGACACAGAAAAATGAAAGAGGAGAGGGAGAGTCTAGAAACCACTAACTTGAACGCAAATCATATAAAAGTTCGAGACACTTAAGAGGCGAGCCGAACAAGCAGGAAGTAAACACAATTTCTAAAAGTTAAATTCCTAACTTTTTCGTCTGTATGGACTCGCCCTCGCATCATCTTAACTTCAAAAATTTATTCGATTCAATTTGCAGAGATTCAATACAGCATTAGTAGAATGCATGCGACGACTACGCGACCCATCGGCGGCCTGCGACATCTTAAGGTTTTGGCACCTAAACATCATTGAATTTTAAGTAAATTATCTTAGGGACTTCGGGGCATCCTACGCAACTAATTCTAAGAGAGTTACTCCCATGTTTTTCGAACGACTAGCTAATTCGTTGAACAAGGCTGCGGCACAGCTTCAAGAAGCTGATCATCTGGAAATCGAGGTGAGAAAATTGTTATTATGCTATGTGTCGAAGAATCAGTCGATTTTGTTCTGGGTAAACCAAAAGTTTTTCAGAAAAATAAATGTCAACTGGTTGATGATACTTCTACGAACACTCTAACGGTTGAATCTGACAGGTCAACTTTAGTAAGTATATGCCGGAAAAGCTTTCTGCAAAACAAACCGGAGGTGCAAGTTCGCTGATTTCAGAGATCATGTGCATCAAGCTGTGATATGCTATCAGCCGAACGAACAATTGTTAGTCGAAGTAGTGATAGCCAGATGGAAACCCTCCTGGAGGAAACAAAAAAGGAACAGCAGCTCGAAAAGCAAAGCTGCTGTTCTTCATCTCAGAAATCTTGTGGGACCTGTGCTTCTCTTTGCTGTCGTTACCATAAGGTTCTTTGAACTGAACACAGTGGCCTAAATTGCATTTTTTAGAGTCTGTGCCCAATTACAGCTGAAGCATGGATAGTTTTGTCTGCATTCCTTGCCAACCAGGTACATCACCCCATATGTTCACATTTTTTCATACACGTGACCTTTTCAGATAAAATTAGGATACGAATTAG